GACTCTTGAACGACCATTATGGCACAACTGTAGAACATTCGGCACTTTAGCTTTAGGGACAACCATTTGCAAACGACAGTTGTCTCTTCGACCATTGTCCCATTTACGGCACAGGACTCCATCCTGAATCAGCAAGCTGTCCCATTGGGCCCAATAGCTTTTCGTGGTTGAACTCATCGCTGAGACGTCCCTCCACTTAGGCTTGGTAGCACGGGCCTTCATCCATCCCAGAATCGGCTTGATGTCCGGATCTTCCTGCTGTGCATGTCGTAGGTTGTCCTTCCATTCGTTGCTGAGGTGGTCCGTCCTGAGCATCCTCACGGATACCACCTCCTTACTCTCTTGCCTACTACAATGGTTGCAATCTTCAGGACAAGGTCTTCTTGTCAATGCATCTGCGTTGCCGTAAGACTTCCCGCTGCAGTGTCTGATAGTAAAGTCGTATTCCTGCTGCTGCTGGGCGGTGCTGTTAGCCGCACTTCCTTTCTGAGACCGTTCACCTTCCCTTCCTAGAGTGTGCTTAGGGCAGCTGGACCGAAGATGGCCCCTTTCCCCACAGCCATAGCACCTAGGGCTGTATCTTTTATTGTGGTCGCGAACCGTAACTGCTGTAACCTCCCTAGCGTGAGGTGAACGATGATCCTGTCGCCGCCAGGCAGTGCCGTTAGCTGCACTACCCTCTCGAGATCGATCAACTCTCCTTTCCACGGTTCGTTTAAGGGCAGCTGGATCGAAGATGGCCCTTTTCCCCACAGCCATAGCACCTAGGGCTGTATCCTTTGCTGCGGGCGCGAACTGTAGCTGCTGCAACCTCCCTGATGCGATGGGAACGATGATCCTGCCGCACGGCTTCCACCTCCAGTGCATGGGCCAAGGCGTTCTTAAGCGTGTCGTGGTGCCCGAGTCTCACAGCAGCTCTGACTTCAAGGTCACGGATGCCGTCGATGAATGTCTGAACCAGGTTCCCTTCAATGAGCGCAGGTACAGACTGGTATGATTTTCGAACCGTCTTCTCCACCTCAAGGGCCCACTGCTGCAGGTTCTCGTTGCTGCGCTGCACGCGATCTTTAAGCTGTGCGCGAAAGACGTGTTCCAGATGAGCGTCGCCATATCTCGCTTCCAAGGCCTCAAGAAGCTGCTCGTAGGTCACTTTCTTACCGAGAGCTTCCAACACAGTTAAGGCTTGGTCACGCAGGCCTAGGGTGAGTGCAGTCATGGCTTGGCTTTTATTCCAGCCGTTCGCCTCCATGACGGCCTCGAACTGGATTTTGTAGGCCGACCAGGAAGAGGTCCCGTCGAACGGCGGCACTTTGAATCCACGTAGCGAAGGTGCTGCAGCTACTACGGGAGCTGTAGTTCCATCCCCAAGTTTGAGGTCGTTTAGTGATTTCTTCATGTCAGCCACTACGTTGTCAACCCGATTGTTTAGTTGGTCGATTCGGGTTTCAGCTTTCTCGATTCGGTTTTCAGCTTTCGCGATTTGGGTTTCGGCTTCCGACAGGCGGTTGTCATGCTGAGCAACCCTATCGTTCACCTCCTTTATCTCCTTCCCGAAGGTAGCGTGAAGGTCCTTCATGAGGAGCATCTGCTCTTCCAACCGACGGGCCTGTTCTTCCTGTCCGCCCCGCAGCTGCTCTTCCAATCGGCGTGCCTGTTCCGCCTGCTGGCGAGCCTGTTCCTCCTGTCGGCGAGCCTGTTCCTCCTGCCGGCGAGCCTGCTCCTCCTGTCGGCGAGCCTGCTCCTGCAGCATCACCATCAGAGCACCTAAGTCAGGTGCTGCAGATGTAGGAGCTACCGACGGGCCTGCAGCCGGTGGCTGGTCCTCCGACGTCTGCGGCGTTGCACCACCAAATCTTCGTTGGTCCGTCTCCTGCTGGCGTTGACTTCGGGTACGGACACCCTCCGTTTCCTCCTTAGGTAAAATCGGCATGATTTTATCCCACTTCTGACACCAATTGTTACGAGCTTGAGGTTCGTGACAATAAAAATTGCCGATAAAATTACCTAAATTAACACTTTAATTTACTTTACACAAATTAAAACTAAAAACACTAATAATTAAACACACTAATTCACTTAATTCCGTTCCGAAGCTTCGCTTGTTTCGCCCAAATCAACACTGCCTCGATCGCACCTTACAGCGCCTACTTATTGAAATTAGCAAATATCCAGAATGTTCAAGCAAACACGCGTAAGGTACCGAGAGTCCGAGTATAGATTTTCTAGAAACTTAGTTTCTTCGGATGGCGCTGTCGGTTGTGATGTCATTCACTGCAAAGCTCCCCTCGCTCTCGTTCCTGACACTAGATGGCGCTAGTGTATCGTCGACTTTAGCGCGTAACAATACCTTAGCTTTGTCGCTATTTCTCGAAATACTACAGGTTAAACTTTCCGTGCGATCTAAATCAATTGGTATTTTAAACATAGAGTGAGCAGTTTTACCTCCTGGTAGCAATGTTGCAGCTATACCTGATACATGCAAGGAACATTCCCGTTAAATGCACCACATAGACCATGTATCATATGAGTTTTAACAATGTCGTACAACACGGGATCTGCAATCGGATCTGGAATTTCAGCACTGATTGAACTGTCTACATCATTAGGTCGAACCTTATCTTTTAACCAAAGCAGGATATGTGCGTGAGGTAAGCCGCGTTTTTGCCACTCAACACTATACATATAACACAATACATCTCCAAAAATGTTATCTTTGGTAAGTATATCTATCATTGATTTTAATTTTAAATGAAAAATTCTTGCGATAATACGGCGGTCATGTGGTGCTTGACCCTCAATAAGCTCCCGAGTGATTTCATTCCACTTGGGATTGGTAGTTACAGTAATAAATAAGTCGGTATTTATAATTTGTATTTATAACAATTTTATAATTGTTATCACCATCTTGAAGAAGAGTTTCTAATGCCGATTTAAAACTGTATACATACGAATTAACCTGATGCAACATGTTCTGAAGTTGTGAAATAAGTTCAGTATTTAAATTCGGGAAATATTACATACATACATAAACACTCACGCCTGTCCATGACTGTGTGTACATGACTTCCGTTTGGCACGAACCTGACACACCTTTCTTGCCTCCTTCACATCCATACACCTACGCATACATGCTCGTCGGTAAAGGGTACTCCTAATTTGGCCCGTTTTCAATAAATCGCCAATTTGGTCGATAAATTTTCGCCTAGGACGTCCCTTTCCGACTCTGCCACTCACTTCTGCGACGTAAATTTTCTTTGTCACTCTTTCCTCATTCATTCTTTCCACATGATCAAACCATCGAAGCATTCCTTTCTTAATCCTGGTCACAACATCATCTTGCAAATCACACTCTTCTTTTATTACACAATTTCTTACCCTGTCATTCAGATTCAGCCCTAACATACTCCTTAACGTCCGCATTTCTACTGCGTTCATTCTACTCCGGTGCTTCTTCTGCCATACCCAACTTTCACTACCATACGTTTCGTAGTGGTTCGTAGTGGTTCGTAAGTAGGGACTAACACAGCATTGTGAATTGCCATACGTGCCTTTTTCGACACATTTTGACTCTTCACAATAGAGTGCAGGGCTCCATTTACTCTATTTCCCACATTCACGCGTCGTTTTATATCCTTATCATATCTCCCATCCCTGCTAAATACGGAGCCTAAATATACAAACTCATCTACTTGCTCGATCAACTTCCCTTCTATTCTTATTTCACAAATCGTTTTACTTTCTTCTCTTTCAAAAACCATAACCTTCGTCTTACTTGTGTTTACTTTCATACCCCTTTCTTTTAATGATCTGTTCATTAATGTAACCATCATTTGCAACTTGGCCACCGACGACGCAAGAATAAGTTGATCATCGGCGTACAAAAGGCATTTGACGGTTAACTCACCCATTCTTAATTCGCATTCTTCAACTTTCAAATTTTGCAAACAACTGTCCATAAATAGGTTGAACAGCTACGGGGACGCCACACAGCTCTGTCTGACACCTTTATGGATGTCAAACCAGTCCGAGTAGACCCCGTTGATCCTAACACAAGCACTGGAGTCCCTATACAGAGACTTTAATGCCTGTATCAAACCAGCGCTCAACCTAAATGCGTTCAGCGTTTGCCATAACACATCCCTCCATCTACATCGTCCACTCTGTCATAGGCCCTTTCCAAGTCCATGAGCGCACAAAAAACCTTTTGGTTTTTGGCCAAAACCTTCTCCGCGATCATGCGCATGGAAAAGACTTGATCTGTACATCACATTCCCTTTCTAAATTACGCTTGCACATCCCAAATTTTTCCATCATTTTCTTTCATGACCCTCTCAATCAGTACCTTAGCATACAGTTTTCCCACATTGCTAAAGGCTGATGTCACGGTAGTTTTTACAGTCCTGCAGCGACCCTTTTCCTCCTTCCTTTTTTCGGGAAATATTGATTTCTTATATTCAACTGTTCGTTGTAGTCGGATACAAAATATATTTGAAGAAACTTAGGTTGGCCTTCAGGCAAAAGGGATTCTATCAATTGGTAAACCTGACCTTGTATCTTAAAAGTAGGCATGAAAGGACCTTCTGAGATTTATTGAGCACCAAAGGATGTCATTTGAAACGCACAATTATTAGTGCGAATATAGTCTAAGAACTCTTTAGGACCCTCAATAAGCTCCCGAGTGATTTCATTCCACTTGGGATTCATATCGCCTATTACAGAATATGATCTGTAATCAATTGTGAGGTTATAAGTAAACCCACGTTTATATCTGTCGGAACACGCCACCGAATTTGTAGATTGATCTTCTATGTGTACATCTAAGTCATTAAGACTATGTCGAAATCTGTCTGCAATAAGACGGGCCTCATGCGTCATGCGTCCGTTTCAAGAGACCGAATATTTTCAATTCTTAATATTTCATTAGACAAACTTATTAATCGTTCTTGTCTCAAAGAATTGTAATATTCGCGTCCCGACTCTAGTCGTTGTTCATGCTCATGTTAATTTTCAAGAGATCGAATAATATTATGGTGCACCCTATCATTTGTCAAACGGTCTTCATATTGAGTAAAAGTTTCAGATTCTCGAGATAAAATATGACGTTCGCGATCAGCTGTGAGACGTAATTCCCTCTCAGTATAGGTTTCGGACTCGCGAGATAATGTATGCCGTTCGCGGTCAGCTGTGAGACGTAATTCCCTCTCAGTGTAGGTTTCAGACTCACGGGATAGTACATGCCTCTCGCGATCAGCTGTGAGACGTAATTCCCTCTCAGTGTAGGTTTCGGACTCGCGAGATAATGTATGCCGTTCGCGGTCAGCTGTGAGCCACAATTCACGTTGTGAAGTAGTTTCAGCTTCTCGGGATAACACATCTTGTTCTCGGTCAATGGTAAGCCTTAGCTCTCGCTGAGAAGAACTTTGAGACGCACGTGATGTAACTCGTCTCGCTCTGTCAGCTGCTAATCGCATCTCTCTTTCTGGAGAGCTTTCATTGGCTAGAGAATTTGAGGCACTAACTCTCATAGAGCTTAACCAATGTGCTCTTTCCTCTGCCAATTCTTGAGAACGCACATTTCTCATTCTCTTAGCTTCTCTCGAATTTCGAGATAAAGATAGTCGTTTTTTAGGTGGCATTGTGTATTTTATTTTTAATCGACGGCATTCAGTTACCTAACAAAATAATCTACGTTAGAGGTCCTAACTATAGCTACCATCCATACACTTAAAAAAATCTAAATGCCTACTTAAATAATAAAACGGATCCTAAATAAATCCTTAAATCCAAAATTAAATTCTTAAAAATATATTAAGTACCTACACTTAAACTACGTCTAATAGAATGAAATAACCGATTTGATACCTAGGTACTTATTTAAAACTACAGCTAAATAAAAAAAAGTTTAATTTATAATTAAGCTAATACTAAGAAATATTTAAACACTACCAAAATAACTAATACCTATTTTATAAAATAACAACCAAATAAATCTAAAAATAAATTATTAAACGTAAGAGTAGATTAAAAGTCGCGCTGATAAGCACGGTTTGTTAAAATCAATTATTGTCTGTGAATAAGGTCGAACACTCTGAACGTCTATTCGCATCAACAGCCAAATATTGTATGAAGCTCGCACTTTTTTTTGCGCCCGAAGCAAATATGAGCAACCCTCCGGAAAGTGGGGGAGGGAGGTGGGGAATGCTAATAACATACCATGCAGCCGGCTGCGTTGTTATGTGGAGACTTTTACCCACTAAACCCCACCTTTATGGATTGGCTTACCGATCTGACGAGAGATCTCTAAGCCGTATACGAACGCGACCCTCCTTGGCAGAAAGGAGGGCGCAAGCGGCGAAAAGCCGCTTAGAAGTGTGCCTAACTATGGCAGATTAAGGGATGTGTTATGTAGGCTTGGCCTGAGCCGCCAGGAGGCAGGTCAGGCCAGCCGAAAGCTTATTGGGTGGGTCCTAGAGAGAGTTTCTCGGTCTGCGCACACTATAGCGAGTGTGAAGAGGGGCTGCATATGCAGCTGTCTGACGAATGAGATGATTTAGGTGGGACTCTGAGGCTTTGAAAACTCTCTCAGAGAGTGATTTAAGGAACTGCTGGATTGTTGGGAGCTCTAAGTCTCGGTGTATGTCGGCGCTACGGACATAATAGGGCGAGTTAGTGGCCCTATGACAGAATAGATTTTGAACTATTTGAAGTTCATTTATAACTTTGGGTTTAGCATGTGCGAAAATGGGGACCGCGTAGGTCATAACAGGTCGTATACAGACCTTATATAGGGTTCGCTTGTTGCGGAGGGACATTTTACTGTGTCTGCCCAACATACTGTTGAGCCTACCCATGTAAAATCGCGTGGTGCGAGTTACCTTCTTGATATGGGGCTCGAAAGTGAGCCTTGCATCAAGGGTGACGCCCAAATATTAGGCTTTTGTTTGCCATGGGACAGGGGTTCCTAACATCCTGATTGGCGGAGTGGCGTTGAGACGGCGTCGTTTATATTTGAAGCAAACGGCGGAGCTCTTCTCCGGGTTTACGTCGATACGCCATTTTTGGAACCAAGCTCCTAAGTCGTTAACTGACTTTTGGACCTTGTTCCGAATCTGTGGCAGTGAGTTGCCTTTAGAGTAAAGGCCGAAGAGGGCTATTTTAACACCATTCGACGGGATAGGGATGTCCTTGGACACCGGCTTTGATTTGACGAGTAGAGGATAGCGTGCCTTCGTGTCTAAAACGAAAGGTACGATCCTTCAAATAAGAGGCTACAAGGCGGACGAGGTGGTCAGGGAGGCCTAAGTCGTACAAATTGTAGATAAGGCCCTCATGCCAGACTCTGTCGAATGCCTTGGCAATGTCGAAAAAGACCGCGATGGTCTTTTGACGACGAGGATAAAAACCGCTGAGGATATATTCCACTATGCGGTGAACTTGCTGGGGGCACGAGTGTTTGGCTCGAAACCCAAATTGTTGAGGGATGACAAGAGGGTCGCCGTCTTTGGGAAACAAATGGCGCCTCGTGCGCACGAGAATAACTCGTTCGATAAGTTTGCCCATGGCCTTGAGAAGGCTGATAGGACGGTGATTGGAGGGGAGGTGGTGAGGTTTACCTGGCTTGGGAATACCAATGACAGTTAACTCTTTCCAAGAGGTGGGAAAGAGTTCGAAGCAGGCGTTGAAGATTATGGCCAATAAGGTGATCACCTGCTCCGGAAAGTGTTTGAGGGCTTGGTTCGAGATGCCATCCGCACCCGGTGCTTTTTTGGACTTAAGTCCTTTGATGGTACCAGTACACAAAAATGGGAGCAGAGATGATGTTAATAATTACAGGCCTATTTCTGTTCTTTCGTCTATCTCAAAAGTAATAGAAAAACTAATAAATAAACGACTAGTACAATACATCAATAAATTTAAAATACTGTCTGACATGCAATTTGGTTTTAGACAAGAAAAATCCACAGAAGATGCTATAACAGCTCTTACTTCCCTAATCGTTGACCTACTAGATCAAGGAAAGAAAACCCTAGTCGTTTTTCTAGATCTTAAAAAGGCCTTTGACACTGTCTCAATTCCTATCTTAATACAAAAACTAGAAAAACTTATTCAAGGATTACTTGTCTGACAGAAAACAAAAAGTCAAAATTGGACAGTGTCTTAGTGATGACTCCTTTGTTACCTATGGTGTCCCACAGGCAGTGTACTAGGCCCTACCTTGTTTCTTGTTTATATTAACAATTTATGCAACCTAAAAATAGATGGAGCCCAAATTTTTTCTTACGCGGATGATACGGTTGTTTTATTTCAAGATACAACTTGGGAAGCAGTTCGCAAACGCACTGAACAGGGACTGGCCGAAATAGCCTCCTGGCTTAGGACTAATTTGCTTACTCTTAATGACCAAAAAACTAACTACGTATGCTTTACCATCAATAAGCGGACTGAGCCACAAAATGATCTTAATATAAAAATTCATAAATGTAAAAACGTTATTGATACTGATTGCACTTGTCCAACCATAAACAAAGTATCCGCTATTAAGAATTTAGGTATAATTATAGACCAATGTTTGACGTGGCACAACCAAATAGAGCATCTTATGGGTAGGGTCAGAAAGCTAATTTGGATTTTTAAGCAACTTAGACATGTAGCATCAAAAATATACTAACTAAAGTATACACTGCGTTGGTACAATCCTTACTGGCATATTGCATTCCAATATGGGGTGGCACGTCCAAAACCAAATTCTTGGAAGTAGAAAGGGCTCAAAGAGCATTACTCAAAGTAATGTTCAAAACGTACAAATTTTGTACATAAAAATTATATAATATAAGTGAGCTACTTACAGTACGAAAATTATATATTTTACAAACCGTTTTAAAAATGCATAGTAGTCTGACTTATGATTCGAACATTTTGCAAAGAAGAAGAGGTACTCTAATAGTAACGCAGAAACTAAAACACAAAATTTGCTTCTCATCAATATAAAAAGCAATCAGTTTTTATATACAATAAAATAAACAAAATTTTCAATATATATGAATTGAATAGATATAATTGTAAACAGTTGTTGACAAAATGGTTAAAACAATTAGACTATGAAAAAACAGAGGCTATTTTACAATGCATTATTTAGACACTACAATATTAGTAAGCAAACACACACAAACACACACACACATACACACACACACACACACACACACACACACATTTCTTTAATAGTTTGTATCTTACGGATTAGGTGGATCACTATCTGTATTATGGCTATGGAAGAGCGGGATCTTCTGGCACAGGTATTTTTACACTTAAAAGAAGATTTCCACACGTCTCAAGATCATTGTAAAAAAATTTTAATTGATCAATATAAGATTTATTATTATTATTATTATTATCTGCATTTTGATTCGTAATCGAGGAACGATGTAGATGTCTATGGGCCACAGCAACCACTTACCATGAGGTGGACTGTGTGCTCGTTTGTCACCTTATCCTATATTAAAAAAAATGAATACAGTGGTGGATTATCCTTAAGGCAAACTATGCACGTGCCTGGTATGAAGGATAGTACTTTCCTCATTCTTTCATTATATTTTTATTCACGCCCACGTGAAGGGTACTTGTGTCCTTATTATTATGCAACTATTAAACTATATTATAAATTATAACATAGTTTACTTGCAAAATGAGTATGTATAATTATTTATAATATATAGCCGCTAGAAGGCCACCCATAAGGTACTAACCTAGGGCGCTGTCGACATTTAATCTGCCTCTGCATATTATATTTTAATGTAATTTAAGTAAAATATATGCCTGTATAAAATGAATATGCCCTTAATTTTTTCTTAAATTTACGCGAACACTACATATTGAATAAAACTAAATTTACGGATTCTAACGCGTTTAATTATTTACTTTTACTTATTTTTAATTCCCGACGTTTCGGGTGCTTTACAGCACCCATGGTCACGGGGGGGACTGAGATGTTTGACGTCCCAATATCATTGTTAGCCCGGCTACCTTCAGTTTTTGAATATTAACTTTTGGTCCGATTTACGCAAAACGAGCTTACAGTATCTTGAAGTCTTGCAGTGGTGTGCTTGGGTTTGAGTTTAATTTTGTTAATTATAGGATCCCAAGCAGATGGCAGCACCCAACCATCTTCTCTATTGAAATTAGGATGTTTTTTAATTTCAATAGCCTTGCGTATCATCCTTGGTAGGAACTAGGAATCGATGTTATTTTGCGAGGATTTGTGGTTTAACAAATCTGATGTAATGGTGGGGACGATCTTGAACATGTTCACAGACTGCAGACTTGTTCAAGAACATGTTCAAGATCGTCCCCACCATTACATCAGATTTGATAAACCACAAATCCTCGCAAAAGAACACCGATTCCTACCAAGGATGATACGCGAGGCTATTGAAATTAAAAAACATCCAAATTTCAATAGAGAAGATGGTTGGGTGCTGCCATCTGCTTGGGATCCTATAATTAACAAAATTAAACCCAAACCCAAGCAAGATAATTTAAGCTCGTTTTGCGTAAATCGGACCAAAAATTAATATTCAAAAACTGAAGGTAGCCGGGCTAACAATGACATTGGGCTGTCAAACATCTCAGTCCTCCC